AGGGGTGCGGAGGGGGTTGATGTACGGGGGGGGGGGCACTCAAGCATCCGCCCACGGGGACCCAGCCTCCCCACCCATCATCATCATTTGGGTGGCATTTTCCTCTTGTAGCGGGTGGGTGGGTAAAGCTGGGCCAGCTCTGGGTGCCCTTTAAAATGATTTTTTTTTGGGGGGGGTCTCTTCCAGAAAAGCAAGGTCTGTTTGGCTAGCATAGGGACGTGGAGGCGAGTGTGTTGCGAGGGATGTGGGGGGGGGAGAGAGAGAGCCACCCGAGATTGGGTCTGTGTGGAAAGGCAGCAGGACCTAATGAGGGGAGGATGCAGAGGGAGGGGTTGAAATGTATTGTGGAATTGATTGCCCCCCCCCACTCCCCCGATATAGATGTTTAATCTGTTGCATCGAATGCAACAGCGAATCCTGTGGCCGGCTTTTTAAGACTTTTAACAAGTTTTATTTGTCACCGGCCTTGAGAGACCTCTTCCTGAGAGGCATATATGGCATATCAGACCAGCAGCTTGTATGCACACTGGTTCAAGTTATGGGAAAGAGAATAAAATACAGAAAGAGAATAAAATACAGACAATGAAACGCTGGAAAAGGGAATTAATTGTGTGTTAGAGCCCTGGATATCCATTTCCAAACTCATCAGCCCTAGCAATAGCCAGGAAGTTCTGGTAGTTAGAGCTTTCACAGTTCATACTTGAGTTCATGATGATGTGATTGTCACTTTAAAATTTCCCACTTTCTGTGCCCACTGAATCCGTACCTGCGCCGTGTATACTGTACATAAACCTATGTTTGAGACAAGTGGATGGTAATGCCAGGAAGCTCACACTGAAATAAATCTGGTAGACTTTAAAGTGCTACACTTTTTTTTTTGCTTTTATGGTTGCACACTTATAATGGGTAGGTTTGTGTAACATTCACAGTGCTACACTTTTTTTTGCTTTTATGGTTGCACACTTATAATGGGTAGGTTTGTGTAACATTCACAAATGGCACTCCCCCTCCCAATAGAGGGGTACTGTCCCTTTTTTTTTCTTTTGCCGGCTTCTTTCAATAAAGCCTTATCTGTCCTAATTAAATGCAGCAGCTTTTAGAGTCCAGGTGCAGAAAAAAATGGAAATAGTGGTACAGTTTCTGAGTCCAAATGAGGCCACAAGGTCTTTGGACAGAGATGAGATCTGGCTGAGTTGCAGCCGGAAAGCAGAAGGCGACCAGGATGGAGAAGAGAATTTAAACCTGCTAGGATTTAATTTGCTTTGGTTCAGAGGATGTTTATAGGAGAAAGGAAGCACAGATAGAGATAGAAGCCAAATTCCAGAAGACGTAGATTCAAATCGAAACTCACTGGGAAGTGTCAGTGTTAAACCACTACTTGAATATCTCACATATCAGTTCAATTTAAGTTGGTTAAAAGTGGAGACACTATCAGTCATAGCAGCTTTGAGGGCTATCTGATATTTGGTGGCTTTTATCTTCAGTTAAATATAATTACAGTATGTCTCTCTACCATCATACACATTTCTTCACACAGAGAAAGAGGAGCAAAGACAGACTCGGAGAATATTGCTAGCAACAGCTAGCCACGAGGCTATAAGTAAGCCAGAATTATCTTGTTTCATAAAACTTCAATCACATCCACCAGCTAATAGTTTTTCTCTCTGAAAGGCTGAGAACAGAGAAAGTCCTGGTATCAAGTGTGCTGGCTTGAACCAGGAAGACCCAGGGAAAATCTCGGCTGATAAAAAATCCCCACGGAAGCTCACTGTACAACCTTCTTCCTATCTTTCAGCATTGCCTACCTCACCAGGTTGCTGTTAAGAGCGTACATGTAGCTCCAAATTCTGACAGCATATGAGTGCCTTACTACTGGAAGAAAGGCAGGGCATCAATAAAAGGGACAAACATAACCCAGGAGGAGAAACAGTGTGAGAGGCAGAGCCAAATCCTCCCTTCCCCAATGGGCTTAAGGAGATGGAAGACCCTCCACATCATAATTTGCTATTCCTCTCCTGGGCATCCTTGTGGCTCTATTGAGCTGAGAGGCGGTAGCTCTCTAAACAATTGAGGCACCACTTTTATAAAGATTTTCCAGCCCACAGAGCAATTTCTTTCCACTAATAGTACAAGACACCCGCTTAGTACTTTTTGCCTGTAACCCTGGAATGGTGTTTCCACTCAAGAACACACAATGCTCGTTTTAAAAAGCCTGCACAGTTCTTCTACTCATGGAGCTGTTTGGGATGCTGTTATTATTGTATTATTACGCTGTTATTATTATTAACAGCAGCTATAACGCAGGCTGGTCAACAATCTGTCACATCACAACTGGCTGTATTCTTTAAGCAAGCCATTTTAGGTTGCTGGCAAGATTGTTGATTCTGAATACTATAAGAGCTGAGCTGGGAATCATGCAGCACTCCCGCTTTAAAGTGGTAATAAAACCTTCCCACATGGCTCAAGAAATGAAGTAGGACCAGGGAGTAGTTCTACAGCTTCGAAACCTTCCTTATATGCTGTTGTCAAACATCTAAAAGAGCAGGATGCTTCTGTTAGGAGTTCCAGTTGTAATCCTACACCAACTTTTGAAGGAACTAGGCTGTATTAAGCAATAAACTAGTGGCCAGTTTCTGCCAGCTGAGAAATGCCATGGAAAACCCAGAGGACAGCCAGCCTTCTAAAACAGTGGGCATCAGAAAATGGGATGGCTCAGGGGAGTCTCACCGGGAAGGGAACCCTCTCCCACCCCATCCTAGTGGAACAGCACTTAGAGTACTCAGGCTCTCAGGAAGTGGTTCCTCCCTCCCCCTTTTTGCCAATTCTGCGGACCATCTGGATGCAGTTAGGACCAGCCGTTTCCTGTTCTGCATGAGGAAAGGGGGTGGGGAGGGAGGAAGGGGTTGGCTGGAAGGGCTCTCAGTTCAATACGGAGAACCACAATTGGCACTGCAAGGACAACCGAGGGAATATTCAAGTCCCCACCCCCTTGCCCAGATGAGCGGAGGGGGGGGTCACACCTATATTTCAGCAAAGAAAGAGGGCACTGCTAGATAATAAGAATCAGATCCAGCCCCGACATTAAGAGCCAGTGTGGCTGGAGAAGAGATGAATCATCGTATGGCGACCCTGGCTCACTCTGCAGAAGGCTGCCTCCAAAGTATGTCCCAATCCACTCGGCAGGGATAACACATGGAGGCTCATTTTCCACCCTGAAAGAGCCTAACCTCCCATTTGTTCCGTCACACACACAAAAAGGCAAAGCTACACATCCTGAGCACCTCTTTTGTTGTATATATTTCTTTATGTACAATAGCTTATATGCAGTATCATCCCAACGGCAGGACTGGGCCAGGCCCTTCTGTCCATTCAAGCAGCAACTTTTTTGGGAAAAAAACACATTCCTCAACAGTTCCCACCACCCGCTTTAGTGCTTTCGTGTGTGGAAAGGAAGCAAGCCTCTTGGTGTTCTTCAGCTCTCCTTCTGCCGCTTGGTGACATTGTAGGGGCCGTCGGCATTGGGGGCCCCAATTGCCTGAAAGACAACATCCTTCGGTCACATGCTGATGCTCCCTTTCGTGCCTCCTCTTGAAAGCCAGCTCCTCACATAGTGAAGAATTCTTCTAAGTGCATCTCCTGAGACTGGAGTCCATTCCTGAAATCACTGTCCAAAAGATTTTTTTTTTAAAAAAAGAACAAAACACCAGAGCTTGGAAAAGTTACTTTTCTGGATTGCACGTTCCAGAATTGCCGAGCCTACACAGATATGGGTGATCCCCAAAGGTCTGAGAAGCACTATCAAAGGGGGAATCAATCTTCACATACCGCCTTTTATTTTCACCAAATCCTGCTCAGGCGGAAGGGATCCCCCTCCTTCTCCCTCCTCATATAAAGCTTCTGCTACTCCAAAGGAGAATCTGAAGCCATATTTGGCCACCTGATGCCTCTGCTCTTCATTTGACTCCTTCCTTTATCTTTCTGTTAGCCAACAGGGTAATCCTACTTCTCCCCTGTTCTTTTCTATCTTCTGTGCAGTGCCTTCCACCTAACCATGTGTGTCAGAGCTAGAAAATCTTACTTTTTTGAATGAAATTTCCCAGAAATCCCAGTCACTGTGATCACTAGTCTTGCTAGCCAAGGGATTCTCTGAACTGTAGCCCAGAAACCAACTTCTCCAAACTCTGCCTTACATAAACATATAATCTAGTTTACTAAGGGAGGTTTTACTCTTTTAACCATTCTTCCCAGTGATTTATCCGGTCAAGAGGGTAAACTTTCAAGATGGAGTGGGGCTATCCATTAACCCAGACCACCCTTTCTTTTTGAGTTTCATTCCATTCATTTCTCCATGGTCCTTGCCACCATTGTGCTTGCATATTCTGTTGACAATGTCCGTACTTTGGTTGTGGGTGAGAAACTGGAACAAGAGACAGGGTACAAGTCATCATCCCAGCTGGCCTTCAGGGCTTGAGCCCCACAAGGATTCCATTATCACCCTGAGCAGCTCCTCTGCCAACCCACTAGGATTGCCAACTGATCGGAGCAGCTCAGCCAACAAAGCAGCCCGTTGAGTGGGTTTCACTCCCTCCTGGAGGGTGCAAGCGGCACACTTCTGAAGCAGCCGAGGTCGGTTTTGCTGTTCCGCTAAGCGGTACACTTCGCCAATGGTCCCGGGGCACAGGAAATTCTCACAAACAGCATCATCAACCAGACACTGGAGCTCAGGCAGGAGATACTGTTCTGCAACGATGAAAATCTCTTGAGCTAACACGAGAGCGATTGGGGCGCCGAGCACGGGGCAAGGCTTGCCACGGCAGCCATGTAGGAAGTGCATAAGAGCCCGGAAGGGCTCAGGTGACACACCGTGAAGTGTCACTGTAGTGCGATTTGATTCTGCAAACCCTCCACTCAACATGGCACGGAAGACTTCAGAGGCTTCACTGATGGCCTGGCGCAAGGCGGGCACCACGGGGCCCAAATCGAGCTGAAAGTGCAAGTCAGCCCTGCCGTCATCCACAAGGCAGGAGTAGAAGCAGGGCAGAGGGGAGTCCAGGCGGGGCCGCTTCAAGGCGGGAGAGGAGACCAGGGCAGGACTTGAAGCTGGGGAGCTCAGGAGGAGGGAGAGCGAATCTGAGGCATAGAAGACAAAAATGGGGTCAGCGTCCCGCGTCAGGACTCCTAGCAGGAGACGCAGGCCAGAGAGATCCAGCAGAAGCTTCCGGCAAAGGGAATCCTTCCTGTGGAAGACAGGAAGGGAACAAAGGAAGAACATCACACCTCTGACCTTTAGTTTGGTTCCTCTTCCCAAAATGTTCCAAAATTTACATCAACGTACTTTTGTTGCACATATGTAACCTTCTCCTTAGCTTTCTCTGAACTCTGAAATTTCACAATTTCCATGGTAATTCTGGAACTCTTTCCCATGGGAGGCTAGGCTGGGCCCACCCTTGCTGTCCTTTTGCAAGCAGGCAGGCTTTTCTTTAGTGACTAACTGTCCGGGAGAGGTTTTAAAACTAGATGGTTTCTGTTTTGTTGCTTCTAGGATCTGTTTTGTGTGATAGATACACAATGCGGTATAGCGGATAGAGTGACAAACCAGGACTCTGGAAATCAGGGTTTCTATCAAACATGGAAACTCATTGGGAGAGTGGAACTGGTAAAACTACTAATCAAATATCTTGTTTAGCTTGAAAGCCTTATAAGGGTCACTATAAATTGGTTCCATCTTGATGGCACATGACAACACAAATCTGTTTTAGTAATAATTGACCTAACAGTCTTAATACAGTGGTGCCTCACTTGATGACGTTAATTTGTTCCAGCGAAATCGCTGTAGAGCGAAAAAGTCATAAAGCAAAATAAAAAAGCCCATTGAAATTGATTGAAACCCATTCAATGCGTTCCAATGGGCTGAAAACTCACCGTCCACCGAAGATCCTCCATAGGGGTGGCCATTTTCCATGCCTGTGCAGTGAGGAATCGATCTCTAAGCACAGTGGGGGGCCATTTTCTTCAGTCAGTGGACATTTTGAAACCTGACAATCAGCTGTTTCTGATCCTCGTAAAGCGAAAATCGGTTCCCCAAGCAGGGAACCGATCATTGCAAAGTGGAAAGCCCCATTCAAACCATTGTTCTGCGATTGGAAAAACCTCACCGTCAAGCAGATTCGTCATTAAACGGGGTAATTGTAAAGTGGGGCACGACTGTATAAAGTTATTAATTCATTTAATATTTGAATAATTCACTGTAATATTCACTCTAATATTGTGTTTTTAAAACGTAAGCCCCTTTGAGTCCTTTCTTAGGAGAAAGGCGGGCTGAACTATTTAAAATATTTTAAACTACAATTTCTTTCCTATACCTCCCTGTTTTACAATGAGCATAAGGATACAAGATGAGCTGTGCTGAATGAGACCCAAGACTAGTGATGGGCACTTATCACACTTTGGTGCCTCAGCGCAGTTCAGTGGATCAGGCCTACAGGTGTTGCATGAGCACCCCAGATTCCATGCCTTGTCAGAAAAAACACTGGGATCCTCCCTGTCCCGCCTCCTTCTCTGAGTGGACGCCTGCAGAAAGAGGCGGAGCATGGAACACCCACACGACACCTATGGGCCTGATCCGCCGAACTGCAGTAAATGTCGATCTCTACCAAAGAACAATCTACTCCAGCCTCTTATCTGCATAATGGCTCATGTTATTCTTACGGGAAGCCCACAAGCAGGCCACAAGAGCATAAGCAATTTCCCACTTGTAATCCTCACCAACTGAAACAGATTAAAAGACACGCTGCTTTGATCCTGGAAATAACATGATTAAATAATCATTGATCCCCTTCCCCTCCATGAATCTGTCTAATCCCATTTTAAGGCTGTCTCACGCTGCCCCTGGTGGAAATGAATTTCATCATTCAGCTATGTGAGAAATACTTCCCATTATTTATTTTTCCTGCTTAGCAGTCTTCACTTTTAGCAGGTATATGTGACAGAGGAGCAAACACTGGCTTGAAATTCTAATGCTCCTTACCCCAGATGGCTCAATCTGAGGCTGATCAACACCAAGAGCAAATTGTGTCAGCCCAGCAGCCATCTGTCATTCAGAACAGCTGTGGCCATGGGGTACCCAGAAGAAGAAAGAGTTACGACCACAGAAATCAAAGCCACTGTACCTTCTTAGTCCAGCCTGGATGCCCCTCTGGTTGAAGGCATCAGACCTACCTGCAGATCAAGGGAAGGGCGAGTGCACAAGCTACTTGGTCTGATTCACAGCCTGACAGCAGCATATGAGTGAGGACGCCGACACCAAAGGGGGACTCCGCTTGGACACAAAGGTTCATCAGTAGCGTCTCTCCTGCAGGGGGAAGCAGAAGGAAAAAACAGTTCAGAAACTGAACTCAACATAGAGTGGCCCAAACTCAGATGGCCTTTGCTTCAACTCTTGAGTGGTAACAATATGTTTTGTCAGTGACAGGCGGTGACAGATTTTACTTTCTTGGGCTCTATGATCACTGCAGATGGCGACAGTAGCCACGAAACGTCTGCTTCTTGGGAGGAAAGCAATGACAAATTTCAACAGCATCTTGAAAAGCACAGACATCACCCTGCCAACAAAAGTCCATATAGTCAAAGCTAAGTTTTTTTCCTGTAGTGCTGTATGGAAGTGAGAGCTGGACCATAAAGAAAGCTGACCGTCGAAGAATTGATGCTTTTGAATGGTGGTGCTGGAGGAGGCTCTTGAGAGGCCCCTGGACTGCAAAGAGTACAAACCTATCCATTCTGAAGGAGATCAAGTCAGAGTGCTCAATAGAAGGACAGATCCTGAAGCTGAGCCTCCAATACTTTGGCCATCTCATGAGAAAGACCCTGATGTTAGGAAAGTGTGAAGGCAGGAGGAGAAGGGGACGACAGAGGACGAGATGGTTGGACAGTGTCATCAAGGCTGCCAACATGAATTTGACCCAACTCCGAGAGGCGGTGGAAGACAGGAGGGCCTGGCATGCTCTGGTCCATGGGGTCACAAAGAGTCAGACACGACTAAACAACAACAACCAACAATATGTTTGGGGGAATGTATGTACTACACCAGTGGAACAAGTGGAACAAGCTCAGAGGAGGGCAACAAGGATGATCAGGGGCCTGGAAACCAAGCCCTATGAAGAAAGACTAAAAGAACTCAGCATGTTTAGCCTTGAGAAAATAAGACTGAGGGGAGATATGGTAGCACTTTTCAAATATTTGAAAGGTAGTCATACAGAGGAACAAGTTCTGTTCTTGATCATCCCAGAGTGCAGGACACGTAATAAATAGCTCAAGCTACAAGAAGCCAGATTTAGGCTTAATATCAAAGAAAAAAAACTTCTTAGTTCTTAGAACAGTATGACAATGGAACCAATTACCTCTGGTAAGGGCTCCAACACTGGAGGCCTTCAAGGAAAATTGGACAACCATCTGTCAGAATTGTTTTGATTTGGATTCTTGCACTGAGCAGGGGGTTGGATTCAACGGCCTTGTAGGGCCCTTCCAACTCCATTATTCTAGGATTCTATGTTTCTAAGTGCCTCCTGTGAAGCAGAGCCAGCCTGTGTGGCCTTGGGCTATAGCTGCACAGTCCCAGGACACCCCAGAAGGGAATGGGAAACTATTTCTACTCTACCTGGAAAAATGTTGAAAAGGGTTGCCGTATTGAAGTCAGAATTGATTTGGCAACACATGATTATTATTTAAGTGGGGAGCATATTTAACTCTGTGGTATATACAGAAGATGCTGGGCATAGTCTCCGAGGGGCTCCCTATAATGGTTACTTTTCAACAGAGATGGAAACCATGCAGCCCATGGGCCACGTGCACCCACCTGTCTGTTTCTGCAGCACCAAAATTCCTCTTGGACCCTTACAACACGATCCCACTAATTACAGTAGTACCTTGGTTTACGGGTGCCTCGGTTTACGTAATTTTCAGTTTATGAGCTGAAATCCATAAGAAATAATGCCTCAGTTTCCATTTTTTACAAGGGGGGGGTTGTTGTATGAAAAGGACGCATCAAGCCTGGAGGCTTCTAGCACAGCTATGGCAATCCGTGCTCCGGTTTACGTAATTTCTGCATTACGTAACATCCCAGATGATGGATTAATTTCGTAAACCGAGGTATTACTGTAATTCATTAATTTTATATATATATATATATATAGCCGGGTTGGATGGGGGGAACCAACAGTGGTTGAAAGCCTTCAGGAACAGTGGTTCTGCTTTAAAACTAGGCTTTGGGACCTCTGCACTTTTAGGGTTTTGCAAAAGCAGAACTTCTATTCACTCGTTTTGCAAGGCGAGTACCTGTATTGCCTAGTTCACAGCTGAGCCCCACATCTGCAAGTGATTCTGAGGCTAGACGCCGCTGAGCCTTGACTAACAGTACACCCTGTGGCAATAAAGGCGCCTTTAGGAAACCCCAGTAACTTGGACAAGTTTTACAACAGTTCAAGCCACACACCAAAGAATGAAATGGGAACGAAGGAACTCCATATGAGAATCCCAGTGCAAGAATCTGAATCACAGCCCATACAGATACAGTACGCAATTCAGACTCACATCTCAAGATCTTAGGTCAGAGGTGGGCAACTCACAGCCCATGAGCCACATGCAGCCCCCCCTGCCCCCCACCCACTGTGATGCTCCTACGGACTCCCCTCTATTGCTCTTCTCCTAAGCACTAATGCCTGATCCTAGAACTCTTTCTCTGAATCCCCCTCATACTGTGGAGTTCCTAAAATACACTCCTCCTATAGACCCCCTTCCTGAACGTCCCTCACACTTCTCTTCCCATCCTGTTTCTCTTAACATGGCTCCCCCTCACCTGCCATTGTCTTCCTCTCGTCCAGGGGTGGACAATTAGTTTCTATAGGAGACCACATGAAAAATATGAACTGTGTTCGCGGGTGGGTAGTAATAGGCCCCCAATTTGCAGGTAGTTATAGGCCCCTATTGAGTGAGGCCCTGCGGCGAACGAACTACAAGGCTGATGTAGTTAACGCCCTAAACTTTTTAGAGCGTTAACTATGTGAGCGTTGGGAGGGGGGAGGAAAAAAACCCCTGACAATGAGCTAAGTCACCTGTCCTCTGTTCCCCCACAGCCTTCTTCTCCGACTGTCTTCTATCCCGCGCAGGCGACGTGATGCATCATCACGTTCCTGCGCAAGGATTGCTTCCAGCCTCTTGAGCCGCAGGCTGCAGAGCCTGCGGCTCAAGAGTAACAGTCAAAACTCGCGAGATCCCAGCATCAGATCTCACGAGTTTTGTTTACTGCTGTTGGAGACGGGCAGGCCGGACAGGAGTGGCTCTCGGGTCGTATGTGGCCCGCGGGCCGCACTTTGCCCAGGTCTGCTCTAGTCCCCTCCCACATCACATAAAGATGCCTGCTTCGGCCCCACTTGTGTTGTGCTCCCAAGGGTTTCAGGGGGATTCAGTGCTACCCTTAAGTCCGAGAGATTACCCAATCTTGTCCTGCACTGCAGGGCCATCTCAGGAAAATGCCTACCAAGTTCCTTGAACCTCCGGGCATCAAGCTTTCTGGCCTCCAGGTTCGCGGGCTCTTCCACTTCTTCCTCAGCTGTGACAGCTGCCGCCGCCTGCTCAGGAGAGACCCCGAGGATTAACCAAGCACGGATGAGCGAGGCCCCATGGCAACGCACAAAGGCCTCCAGGCAGGCCGGGTTGCACGTGAGGCGATGGAGAAGCCGAAGGCAGCGAGAGGAGGGCGTGGGGCTCCCCGTGATGTAGTGCAGCAGCCCTCGGAGTACAGTCGGGGTGACTAGGCTGCGGCTGGGATCCTCCACTTGAGAAAAGCGTGAAAGCAGCAGCAAGGCGGGTGCTTCGGGGGCTTGGAGCTCTCTGTCGCCCCCATATGGTGAAAAGGAGAGAGGCAGAGCTAAGGAAAGCAATGGGGAAGAGGTCTCCCCTACAGGGCGTGACACTTGAGGGGGCGTTGTTTGCTCGGATGCTGGCCGATACTTGGCCCGACGCCTCCAGCAGGCAGTCGGTGTCCTTGCTTCATCGGGAGAACCCGAGAGGTTCTGAATGCTTGGCTTTGGGCGAATCAAACAGGCTTCGTCTGCAGCCGGTGATTTAGCAAGAGATCTGGGGGACAGCTGACTTTGGTCACTCTTGTCCGGAACCAGCATCTCTGAAGTCGAGTGCCATTTCTTGAGCCCAGGCTCACTTTGGTCTGTTATTAAAGTGATATAGGCTGATGGTTCCACTTCTTCATTTCCTTTTGCTGAATCCAGCATCACTGAATTTGGTGCAAGCCCTGAAGATTTCGAGCAGGGCCTGTTCTGTCCTAGAAGTCTTTCCTCTACATGGGTCACCCCTGGTTCCTTCTGCTGCTCACTGGTCCCATTTATTTCTTCCTCCTTCACACCATCTGAATCTGACATCTCCGTGACTGGTTCTGAACGGGGACTTCCAGGTTCACACATTACAGGCATTGCCATAGAGCAGTTGCTCTGCTCTGCGTGTAGTCCATCCTGCTCTCCTGAATGTAATACCTCAGAAGCACTGGCCTGCCCCACAAGGGAAAAATCCAATAATGGGGAATTTATGAAATCAGGGGATTCAGCCCTGGGTTGGATATTGACTCCAGAAGTAGTGTGACAGGGCCCTGGTGGTTCATCTGATAGCTCCTGATTGGGACTGACACATCCCTGGGCATCTAATTCGGAAAGAGTGGTATCTGGAGACCACTGTGGGGAAAGTTCACCTGGGCTGGCAATATAGCCTTCAGAGAGAAGCCAGGATCTGCATTGGGTAGGGGAAAAAGTGAGATAGAGAGATAAGCCATGAGATATATTCACTTATTTATTGCACAGATATCCCACCTTTCCTCCACAGTAATTAGGTTTTTTGGGGGAAGAAATGGGATATTTATCATAAGACACTATAGAAATAAAGGTAGAAGGCCCAAATTGCCTCTTAGTCTGTAATGAATCTGTCATCACATGCACGGACCCATTCTTAGAGCTGTACTAGCATGCCAGAACCATATGTGGCACCGCATGGTTATGAAGTCATAAAGACTTCAAATACCAAAAAATCAGTTCTCAAATACCTAGATGTCCCTCATTTTTACAGAACATTCGAAGTGCAGGCTTGAAGGTCACATAGCTTTTTGTTTTCTTTGTTTGCTTACTTGCTTTCCATCTGTTTTTACTGACAAAGGATCTGCATTTCCTGGGCACAAAGACTTACAGACCTCACTACCCACAGGAGCCCTCCGCCAACAGCTTTCCAAAACAGCCCCAGATTTTCCCCCTTCTTACAGGACCAAGGTAAACAAGCTGGTGCCCTTCAGATGTTTTGGACTACAAATGTTGTAAGCAATGGCCAGAAACTATGGGGGCCAGTAGTCCAAACTGCAGGCTGCTTACATCCTTAATGCTCCCCACGACAGGGTGGCACTCAGCTCAAGACATCGGTTACCTGAGACTCTGAAAGCTAGAGGACTCTGCACCAGGTGTGGTCTGTTCTCCACGCCGCCCTTCGGGAGGGAAGTCAAAAGAAGCGGCATCTCTCTCATCGTCATGATCCTCCTCCTCTTCATCATCTTGTTCTTGGCCTCTCCACTGCCCCAGGGCTGACAGCCTGCCAACCAGCAAAGGCACCAGCCCGCCAGCCTGCAGCACCTCCAGAGCCTCCTCATCATAGAAGAAAGCAACAAAAGCTACCACCAGGCGGGCATGGGAGGAACTCTGGCATCGATCCCTCAGCAAGGACAGCAACAGCTCCAGCCCTCCAGCTTTCCGGATCCTACTTCTGTTGACCGCCTCCCGGCACAGCAGGCAAAGAGCTTTTATTAAAGGGTGAAGGGAGGTCCCAAGTGCCCCAGCTCCGTGTCGCTGTCGGATCTCCCTTATCAGCACTTCCACACCCCCAGCATTGCCTACTGCTGGCCTCAGCATACCCTGCAAGCAAAGGTTGGCAATGGCTCCGATGGCTGACTCCCGCACTGCTTGTTTATCATGGCTGGCCAAGGCCACAAGGGGGGCCACTCCACCCCCCAGGCTGAGCTGCTCAGCACAGTCACGACTGCAACCCTTGGTTAGCTCAAGGAGGGTACGCACGGCTGCCCCAACTAGGGCAGCATCATCCAGCGAGGAAGTCAAGCGCTCAGCGATGGGCCGGACAGCCCCCTGCTGTGCCAGCAGAAGGCGATGGGCAGGAGTGTCCGCCAGGTAGCGCACCGCACGGATCACACTCTGTAAACACTCGCTGTCCTGGGAGGTGGTTAAGACCTGGACCAGCGGGGGCACCGCTCCTGCAGCAGAAACACGGATGGGGGAAGAAAGGAAGTAAAAAGAAAGACAACCCTATTATAAAATGTTGCATTTACCTATATCTCTACAGTCAGCTGGCAAACCTCCCAAGCCAGACAGACCTTCAGCTGCCAGATCTCTGTACCTTCTCCATCCTTGACTGCTCCCCTTTTTCTTACAATGGCAAGGACACTAAGAGCAACCAATTTGAATATTACAAATATGTCCTATCAGGACTGACAAGTAGCCTGAGAATTTTAAGCACATCACTTTGTCATACTATCTGCCTCAGGCTGTTAGGGGCCTACAAGAAAACCAGGACCAGCCTGCACAGATGGGTGTCCAAGTTAATGTATTTCCCTCCTGAAACAGAGAGTACCTCATTGTGGATGAGGGAGAAAGGCTGCCACTCCTCCTGCATTCAGAGTAGTAGGAACACATATTGTCCAAATCTTACAACCACTAAGAATTGATCCAACCCATAAATCTCATCCAGTGCAGCATCCCATGTTTCACCTGCTTCGTGGATGGCCTGACAGTTCTCCGAATCTACAGCCAAGTTGCCAAGAGCCCGGGCTGTCCGGTTCTGGATGCTTTCCGCAGCAAGCGATTTCAGAATAATAACTACAAACACAGAATTGGAGGGGAGGGGGGAATAAAAAATTCAGTGGTAAAGTCATAAATAGCTTACAGATCCGTAGCCGAGTACTTCTGTTATGGTAAAGAGTCCTGTAACATACAGGTTTAGCGGTCTCTCAGTCCACTACAACACAGTTAGCTCTGGAGAGGATCAGCTGTTTAAACAGGACAGCATTTGCCAAATGATTCCCTTCTCTGCTCGATCCAATCTTATCTATTTATCATAAACAGCTGGCCTTCTGTGCAAATATTCAGCCTTCTATACTCTGAGATGCCCCAGTGTCTAATACATGCTGTGTAATATGCTGATTTTTGAAAAGTTGCAGGTCTTTTCCACAATATCAAAAGGTAGCAAAGGCACTGTTTCTCAATTACACATAACATTTGAAGTCTTGCTCTGAATAGGAGGAAACCAACTTCTGCTAACTTCCCTATAGTCCCTCATCAAATGTATTCATAACTGAAACAGTTCCACAACCCAGCAGTAAAGACTAATCAGGTGGGATAGGAAAATATAATATTAATAGAACTTGGGATTGATTTGAAAGTACCTTTTGACATCACCCTATTTAAAGGATGATGCTGTGGCACTCGCCCATCAACAGCCAGGTGGCGTGCCAACTGCAAAAATAGCAGAAAGCAAATTACAGCAAGCTTGGGCATAATCTCCAGCTGCATCACCTTAACCTCAGAGCTAGGCAGACATTACAGCACATACCCCTTCCAAAGAGTCACAAGTTCAACGGGAGTTGCTCTGAAATTCACAAGTATAGGTATTGGAAAACAACACAGAAGGCTTAAACTGGCACAGAACTCAAAACTTTTTAAATACCCGATGCGACATGTACAGATAATGAATTCCCTCTTCAAATCCATAAAGCAAAGCTTGGCAGTTCCATCTGGCAACCCTCACAAAATTTCAGAAAACAACATTCCTAAGTAATCGAAGGAGCGGGCGATATTGAGATAGACAAGTCACCCAAAATTACCATGTCCTATATTGGGGAATTCCAAGGCTAAAAGGGATGTGGAACTACATTCTACCAGATCCCACACACCAAAAGGGGAATCCTATGAAATCCACGGCTCCCTCCCCTTTCCCTAGAGACTTCAGCCTCCATTGCTGACAAGTGAGAAAGCCCTCTGAACCTTACCCGACATCATGTAGACAGGCACCCCTCGAGGAAGGGCTCCCTAAAATTTGGAGGACCCCCAAACAACAGCCCCCCAACTCACCCACCCTCCCTCAAGTGTGACACCCCCCCTCCTCAGGGTGCTCACTCAGCACTTCCTACTGGTCGAGGGGGTCCCAAGCCATTGCAAAAGGCACCTCATGCGTTGCACCCCAAAAACGGAGGGGGGCTCACTCACCAAGGGGCGGGATCCCCCCAAGCTCGCGCACCTGGGTGCGGCTGCCCCCCTCCGTGCAGCAGTTGCCCAAAATACTCAGGGCCAGGTCCAAGGTGCGTCGGGGCCGGGGGGCGCCAGCCAGGACTCCCAAGAGGGGCGCCAGCCCCCCACGCGTCCTGAAACGGGCAATGCCCCCCGCTTCCTTGATATGGTGGGTCCGGAGGGCCAGGAGGGCCTTGCCGAGGCCTGGCTCGGTCCCCTTCTGCAGCTGAGCCAAACAGTAGCCGAGGGAGCCGGTGGGGGTGCTAACCCCACCCCCTGTACCCCTTGGAGCAGGAGCCGCCATCTTGGAGAGGAGCCCCCCTAACTCAAAAGGCAGGGTGGGTTAAGTCATCCAAGCAAGCCGTCCCAGGAGCATTGTGGGAAGTGTAGTTCTTTCCATAATGGCGAACGGGAAGAAAAACTACAACTCCCGAGATACAATGCGGTCTTCCCTCGTGGCCGCGAGCGGCATGAGGTATGCCGGTGATTGTAGTCCCTTTGCCGGCCATCGTCCATTAACTGTGTGGGAAACATCTCTCGGAAAGGGACACAAGTCCCATAGTGCCATGCGCCGAGCAACCGCGCTGTCATAGGATGGAGCGAGGCATGATGGTAGAGGGGGGGTGACTGAAGGCTCTGAATGAGCGTTGCCGCAGTGCGTGGCGGAGTTGTCGCCTGGCTTGCGTTGCGTAGATGGGGTGTTACTGTATTTGCAATCGGACTTCCTGTTTTCTTAAGAAAAGTGACACGCAAGGATGTGAAGGCTTGGAGCGGGATCGTTGTGACATTCAAACAAAACAATAAAAAAAACTTTTGCCGCGCCCTGCAGATTTTGCTAGTTTTTTTTTAAGATATGGTGATGATGAACGTTGCCTCCTCTATGTTGCTATGTGTTGTCACGTCGCTTCCGAGTTAAGGCGACCCTCGAGAGTTTTCGAGGTGCGTCAGTTGTCCAAGGACTGCTTCACCATTGCCACACGTACACACATCCACGAGTTTCCATGGGCAAGCAGAGACTTTATTTTATTTATTGATTTTGTTTGTCTTATTTATAAGCCACCTTTCTCCCCGATAAGGAGACTCAAGGCGACTCACAGTATTAAAAACTGGATTAATAACACAGTGTGATAGACACTGAAAAACAAACTATAGACTTGAACCCAGATCTCCTGAGTTTTAACTCGACACTATACTACACTGCAGCTGGCTGGATAGGTCAATGGTTTAGGTATCGAACTGTGGAGCCAGAGGTTGGGCGTTTGGTTCCCCACCGTACCTCCTGGGAGAAAAGCCAGCCTTCTGTATGGCTTTGGGCAAGTTGTACTGTAGGCAAACCCAGAAGAAAGGAATGGTAAATTACTTCTGATATTCTCTGCCTAGAAAACCATGAAAAGGGACACCATAATTGACTTGATACTGTAGAATATGACTGTTATTATTAACATAGATAAGTGATCTGCATAAAACAGAGAGGAACTAGAGAGGGAAAAAAGATAGGTTTTGGTGTGAAGAAGTACATCATCTTCCTCAGTGGAAGTAATACAAAAAAAGGGGCAGGGAATTGTCCCCCAACAAAACTCTTAAGACTTGATTTCTCAAAGTGAAGTTTTCTGTATTTATTGATGTTTTTTTCCCAATAAAGTGTTTGTACGGTTGCTTGTCAGCAAAATTATTCCATCAAATGTTATCTGAATAAGAAACAGTGGGACCAACCCCATTCATGCAGGATGAAGGTACAGTATCTAACAGCAAAGCAGCCCTGATTCCCGACCATTGAAGGGCAGTTGCTTTGCAGGAATCAACCCATGACCTGGTACACCGGGCTCTTGTTTCCTAGAGAACTGGCTTTGGCTGGTGAGATGGAGGAATCTTCACCTTCTGCATGGTAAGGATGGGGACTCTTGGGGGAATTTGGAAACAGAACCAGTGGATGGGGACACTCAAGGGAGCAATGTAAACAGAGAGCTGATGACTGTAAACTTCAACTATCTGCAGCCACTAAAACAGTCACGTTCTTGTGAATCCGTTAGGACGACAGGACAGGGAAGGGTGGAAAAGTGTGTCCTCAAGATAAAAGGTACATTTTCCCCAAATATGCATCAGATGATCTACCTGCTAAAAATCAGAGCAAGTGTTGGCAGAACATAATGGGGAATAGAGTCAGGAGATTTTATTTTTCTAACTTCCATCACTCTGGTCTGGTTTGCACAACAGAGACAGCACATAAAGTAGATAAGTATGTTCATGCCTGTCACAGTCACTAGAGTGTACATCATGCGAGGACAGACAAGGATTGGCCCTCTGGTTCCCAATATGACTTGCCCCTGGCAGATAGGAGCTGACACCCAGCAGCATCTGGAGGGTTAATGCTTTGTGCATCCTGATATAATGTTTGCAAGATGTATGCATTTAGGCCCAAAACAAAACATACCCAACATGTAGAAAACAATAGATTGATACAGACCTGTGTGGATCAAGCTCATGCTGACATGTCACATGACATGTGTACAACAATTTTCTAGTTAACTTATGTCAATGTCTATCCGGCACATTTTCCAAACCCCAAGGCTGCACATGAGTCTGAAGGGTGGTGATTATTCTACTTCCCCAGTGCCTGTGACCTCAAAGATAATTGGAACCATGGCTCTGTTTATCCAAAAGAAAAGTGAACAAGATCAGAAGAATCTTACTGACATTTTCACATCAAGTATGGCAGCATCTAGGCCGGGAATTTGCTGAAGCCTGGGTGGTGTTCATGTCAAAAATAGCCTTGAATAAGTAAGAGATGCCAAGAACTTACTGAAGCCTGAGTGGTGTTGTCAAAAAATAGCCTTGAATAAGTAAGAGATGCCAACTGTGTTAAACCACAATGACTGCTTTTTGATCAGTTGCTGGCTGGCTGGGGATGATGAGAACTGCAGTACAGAACGACTGGAGGGTTGTGGTGTTGCACTACAGCAACCGGAGGGCACCCAAATGGTAGCCTGCCAGCTGACTCCCAACACCACTTCATAAACCTGAGCAGAGGGAAGTTAGGGAAAAGATTAATCCCTGGTCTGGTTGCTGTTCATTGTCAATCTCTTCCTTCCTCAGAGGCAGACAGGAAACGTTGTGGTGCTTTTAGGCAACCCAATACACAAGGAAAGAGAAGCTCAAAGCTGGCAAGAACAATACCCATTATCCTTGGGGAGCTGCTAGACTCTCAAGCATCTTCTAAGGCCCACCAGCACTGATACATTAGTCAAATGGTGGACAAAGGCAGCCCTGGGCCGCATATAGTCCACAAGGCAGTTCTTGTGGCTGGCAATCTTCCCTTGGTTCCCTCCCCTTTTTTTGGCCAAGAAAAGAATAGTTGAACTGAAGTACTCGGTATTAAAGCTCCTGGAAGCCTCCAGGAATGGTGATTCACATCTTACATAGATCATCAGGCCATCCTATACTGCTTAACTCCCTTGGAATACTGCTTTTTCAAAACTGTGAGTGGACTTCTGGCCAATTCTGGTTGGTTGGTTAGTTGGTTGTTGGTTGGTTGGTTACTTACCGTATATACTTACCGCCGCCCCAAATATAAGACGAGGCATCTAATTTTACCACAATAAACTGGGAAAACTTATTGACTCGAGTATAAGCCGAGGGTGGAAAATGCAGCACCTACTGGTAAATTTCAAAAATAAAAATAGATACAAATACTGTAAAATTAGATTGAGGCATCAGTATGTTAAATGTTTTTGAAGATACTGCCCTTCTGAGCTGCGAGACACAATTCACTGCCTGCGGAGGGGGGGACTCATATTGGATGCTGCGCTTATCTACTGCTCTACTGCTGCATAACAAGATGGAGGGAAACGGAGGATGGAGGAAGAAGGTGGGGGGAGGAAGGTGGGTACATAGAATATGCAGAAGGAGGAGGATGGGAGTGTCCTGGAAGTGGAAATGCAGTGTACTTAACCTGGGTCATCAGACAACCCACAGAGGCTGCAGGCGCCCGTAGATGATCAGGGGAGTCTGGAGGACACCCACACTGCAAGGGAGAACATGTAGTTTTGATACTGACTTGAGTATAAGCCCACAGGGTGCTTTTTCAGGAAAACAATTGTGCTGAAAAACTAGGGTTATACTGGAGTATATACAGTACTTACTTGTGCAGCTCCTGAGAGATCCTGGCCTGGGGACAGAAAACTGGCCACCGCATTTGCCTATGTAGCCCACTCCTGCATTAGGCCCTCCCATCGACCCACTGCAGTGTGCTCAGATTTTATGAAGACACACTGGGAAGCTGCTGTATTCGTGTCACCACAAGGCATGCCTCAGAAAAATGTGAGAAAAATGTAGCTACTTCTACACCTATCCTTCAGCTCCACCATGTCTTCAGATGTGTGCCATGTGCAGCCACATTGAGCCAGTAAAGTTTTTTGTTGTTGTTGTTGCTCCTTGAGAAGAAAACAAGAATGGACAGCGGTGGTCTTTCCCAGAGGGCAAGGTCATTGGAGGAAGGTAATCAGACCGGATCTGACCTTCAATCAACCACCACGAGAGGGAGACTGAGCCAGACACCCTTGTTGCGGCATGATATGCGCTGTGTGGAGTGCTCCACTGAGGAAGCCCATGGACAGGGAACGATTTGGACCAACCCCTCAATAAATTTCCCTAATTTACAGGCTGGATTTTCATCTTCTCCTTATGGACAATTACCTGATCTTAGCTGTTTTGATCCTGTAGAAGTTATTGTTGACTCACCAAATGTTCAGGCAAATAAACCAGTTAATATTTCAAAAGAATCTCAGTGGTTATTTCCCGCCAAAAAGGAGGAACTGCTCCAGCCTTCTAACGAACCCAATGACACAAGTCCTCTCTGAACTTTTTGTGAAGTCCCATTGTCTTCCTGGCTGTCTTCCATCTTTCTTTTCTTGTTGGAATTGTCTGTGATTGTACTTTTAGAATTTCCTTTTTGAGAAACTCCCACCCATCTTGGACTCCTTTTCCTGTTAGTATTTCCTGCTATGGGATTTTACCTGTCATTGTTCGGAGTTTATTAAAATTGGCTTTCCTAAAGGCCAGTGTATACGTGCGGCAACACTATGTTTTTGTTTCTGAAGTAAAACGTGATCATTTCCCCCCAGAGTTTTTCAGCTGCCACATCTTCCACCAAGTAATCTCCATTGGTTAGGATCAAGTCCAGGATAGATACTCCAGGACTTCTTCCACCAACTCATCTCTATTGGTTTGGATCAAGTCCAGTGCAAGCATCTGGGACCTTGCTTCTGTTTTAAGCAAGGCAGCACTTCAAACACTAGTGTCATGTTTCATGAGCCCTCTTGGACATGAGCTCCAGCAAAAATGGCAGCAGCTACTGGATGCTTTTTGTCAGCCACATGCCATTTTACCTAGTAAACC